GTGCATGTAGGTCCCATCTATGTCACCAAAGATGCACCGTCGGAGTTCTTACGCAAGGTACGTAAACCTTGACAAGGACTTCGACGGTCGTAACACGGCGCGAAAATAATAGAAGTCCCTTTTGAAGCGTCGAACGGTCAAGTCTCGGCACATGTGGCATGGCGCCGTTAGGGCTAAACTCTCGAGACACCAGCCAGGCCCTGCCATAAAATATCGAGAAAACCGAGCACTTCCCGTTAGTCACGGAAGTGCATGGTGGTACGCGTACCCCTTCCCTCGTTTCTATCTCTCATGGGGTGGAGACAAAGTCGACCAATTAGGTCAAATTTTGTGCTTCACCCCCATCGGAGCCTCGAAGCGTAGAGAGGGAAATCGCGCCTCCCTCAGGAGGAATCGTCCTCCGAAAAGACAGAACATTTTTAACACTCGCCGTGAAAAGAACAATTTCAACACTCGTAGAAAATAGACCAAAGTCTCGTACCTAACACGGCGTTACTCCGACACCCGAGTCGGAAAAAGGGCGCATCTCGCAACAATCGTCTTGCAATGTTAAATGTTTTTGAATTAAATTCTTAATTAATAATCTTATACCATTGAAATTGAAGAATGACCTTTGCTACAAAAAAAAGTAGTTACAATTTGCAATGGTTTTAGCGCGTTAACTAAATATTCTATTAGCTCCCGCTGATTTTCATTGATTTCTAAATTTTTTGCTGTGTTTGTACTAGTAACGGCTCGATCTGCTGTTGCATTTGAAATGGGACATTTGTTTGCATATAATCGTTCCAGCATGAAATATGTGGAATTCCGTCGCGTAGAACAACATTGTAATAAAGTCAACTTTTGCATGTCAAGTTGCTCTTGTTTTCGCTCTAGAACTTTTTTTGCAATGTTCGAATGCTTAAAGTGTGTGTTAGAATTATGGTAATAAATTAAAAGATATTATTTTAATTATGAATCTTCTTTATTTTGATACGCGAGGAAGGCACGTCGCTATGCAATCAATCAAACAAACATAGACGAGACGCTGAGAAAAAAAAACGTATCAGCGTCACCCATACTAAACAGATGGTTACTGTTATTTCTATATACAGGGTGTCCCGTAACTCCTCGAACACCCGGAAATGGGGGGTTGCTGGGGTGTCTCTGAACAACTTTTTCCTTTTCCAAAATCCAGTTTGAAGCTTCGTTTTCGAGTTATTAACGAAAAACACTGGCCAATCACAGCGTGCGTAGAGCCCGCGCTCAGGGACGGTGGGGAAGTGAGTTCACCGATGAGCGTTAATACAGACACAAGAAACATCGACATCGCAACAATAAACGTCGAACGCCGAAAGAAGACGTCGAAAACGCCGAGACGTCTTTTGTTTTTTTCCACACTTTCCCCGCGGACCGCGCGACGTTTGGCGAAGAACGATCATGTGAGTTCACCGACACGGTCGTAACATCAGATGTTTCGGATAGGTCAGGATCGACAAACTGACCCAGTTCCGTCGAAGCAGATTAATTCGTGGACGAATGGGTAAGTTTTTCATAAGTAATAAAACACTTTATTCCTCTCGGAATAAAGAAACGATAACACAGTTAATAACACAGTTATTAAACGACTTACTTGTTATTCATGAAAAAGAAAAAAAATACGTTTTGGAAATCGATGTCAATTATAAAATTTCATCGAAATATGTTGATGGAGAAACAAGCAACAGGCATCGAAAGATGTAAGAATCTGCAGATTTATTACAGTTTTACGCGGAAAGTCGTGATAGTGCCATTTTCATCATCTTTAACCGTTTGTAGCTCACAGAAACATTAACCGATTTCGATGAAATTTTCACCGTGTGTATAATTGACGTAGATCTACAAAACGTATTTTTTAGATTTTCATTTCGAGCTCAGATAAAAAAGTTGTAAAAACGACCTTCGCTATTTTCTTCGCGATACAGACTAATTGCAGTTTTTTTACAAATTTATACAAACGTCGGAATGACGGCCAAAAACCATTTCTCTAAGCCTTATAAAAACAGCAGTGCAAAGTGAAAGTTTTTTGACAGCTATCGAGAACCGAGAAGTCACGCGTACGCATTTGTTCGCTCGCGCGGGTGCATCTCTGTTCGGCCGTCCCTGAGCGCGGGCTCTACGCGCGCTGTAATTGGCCAGTGTTTTTCGTTAATAATTCAAAAACGAAGCTTCAAACTGGATTTTGGAAAAGGAAAAAGTTGTTCAGAGTCACCTCAGTTCCCCCCCATTTCAGGATGTTCGAGGAGTTAAGGGACACCCTGTATATGCATATATATTTTTGTCTTTGTATAGTTTAATAGGCATTTATTTTCTATGATTTATATTCATTACAAAAATGGTAATGTTCAATAAATTCTTCGAAACAGAGATACTTTTTACTCCAGGCACATCACAACAGTGCACATTTTGTACACAGTGTGCTGGAAAATAGCTGGTTAATGTCAGTTTCAGGAAATCAAATAATAATATTTTGATCTAAAGGGGATTTCCTATATCTGAGGTCCTAGAGTTGCGATAGACTCTTTCAACACAATAAACAACTTTCAGCATAGTAACTTTCTACATGCAGACATTTCAAGTAGAATTGTGTAATTGTGAGTAAAGAATGATAGAAGATTGAACGGCACCTTAAACTTTTTTTACACCTCTTTCTATTAATATGCGTCCTGAATGTATTTCTAATTAAAAGCCACTCTCGTCTGCATTATAAACGTTGTTTTCACCAATATGCTTTATTAAGGATTTTACATCATTCACAAAGGCGTTGCTTATTGTTTGTAATCCTTCAATATTTGCATAAACTAACTATTTAATAAATTTGATTACCTTACATAACACAATTCCACTGTACCTTTTGGAATTCCAAAACCACCAATTTCCCGCTTTGAACAAATAGTTGATCACATTTTTTGCCTTCAAAGCCCATCGTCGAATATCAATATCATGAATTATCATCTTTTTTCATTAGCAATTTAAAATTTTTGAAGTACATATTTTACAACTGCAATTCTCTTATCCTGTAAGCATCCACCTTTGTTCATACTAACTTCCTACATAGGGAGTTGAGATAAAGATGTTACTTTTCCAAATTGACTTTGTACATTTTTAAACGAAAGATGTTTTCGTTTTCCACTTATCCAGAACTGCACGGCTCCTCTTTTATTCAAATATTACTGAATTTTCGTGCAGAACATATGAATCTTCAAATTGCACCGCAAAATCATCTTCAATTAGAATATCTTCTTTCATGATCCTTCTAATTATATCTAATATAGCGTCGTGCAAAGCTATTTCCCGAGGATTCGAAGGTGTGACGACCGTACTTGAAATTTGTAACGGTGTACCTACGTGTAATTAACATATTAATAATACTTGCTGGTTTTATCAGCACCATTTTGCTAACAGATTTTCACTATGTTTAACAAATAGTATGTAATGACACTTCTGAAACTGCAATACACGGATGGACACAATTATACAGAGTGTTCGGCCACTCCTGGGAGAAATTTTAAGGGATAATTCTAGAAGACAAAATACAACAAAAATCCAGAATAATAAAATTACGCTTGACCATCGTTTCTTAGTTATTAACATTAAAAAAATATCCTTGTGAACAAGCAAGCCCCTCCACACCAATAAATATAGGGCACGTCAAAAGACCATGGCCAGCAATTTACAGGTCATCGCCTATTTAATGCCGTGTCCACACTGCTGTTCGCGAACAGCTCGCGAGACATGATCGCCGACAATGTGGAATTGCGGCGAATTGCAAGCAGGTTACAGCGAACTCGTCTGCGAGCAGCAGAGTGCGCTCGGTAGGCGGTACATCAAAGGATCTAGACGTGTCGTAAAGCTAAGAAGCTTGGCTTTCCTATTTCGTTTTTGAATAAATCGTTTATTAAACTTATTCCACCAGAAACGCTTCTCTTTTGAAAATTTTTTTTCTGCCAGCACTGACACTCTCTTTTTCTTCCAGCACTATTTCCTTTTATTATGAAACATGCAGCTGATGCCACCGATAGATCTTCGTCAGACATCTTTTTAAGCTTCAAAATTTTCGTGTGCATATAAGCAGGGTCTACAACGAACTGTCCGCAAACAGTCAGCGAACAATTCTGCAACTGTTCGCGAGCTTTAATGTGGATATGATACCTCTGCTGTTTGCGAACAGCTCACAAATAGCTCGCAAACAGCTCTAGCCAATGTAGACGCAGCATAACAGCACAACGTCTAACCGGCACCAGACCAGTATCAACATATGTATTCACCACACTATCGCCCATTTAACAACACAGTACCTGCACAAAAACGTTCAGCTGCCCACACGTCGACAACATATGAAACCATATTCCCAACTATTGCCTATTTTACAAAAATGTCGAAATTTACTATTAAAGAAATGGCTATAATAGCATTGTTACTTGGTAAGGAGGAAGATAATAGAAAAAGGAAGAAAAAATACTGGGTACATAGAAGTTTGAAATTAAGAAATAGATCTAATTCGATTAATTTCGCGTTGTCCATTCTATTCGCCACTAACGCGTTATCAGCACTGAGCGCCTAGTTGTCAACGTGCAAGCAGCATACAAACGGCATGCGATCGACGCATGAACGGCAAGACATTCAGGTTGCTATCAAGGCGATAAGTAGGAGTGTTGATGCTGTCCTGAACGACAATCACCGCACTAAAAGCGGACTAATAATGGAAAGGATAAAAAGTGCCCGTGTATTCATTCAAGAAAAGTAAATGAATTTTCTAAATGGTAAATCTCATCTGTTGCCGGCAACATGGATATTTTAACTTATGTTTACTAAGCAATTTTTAATCTGTTTAAAGAGTACTATGCGTTGTTTAAGTGGGTTACCCTTTTTCTTAACATTCTCTATAACGTAAATTTTCAGAATACAATGCAGTTTGGAAAATACTGTTAGTATAATAAAACCTACATTGAAGTATAAAAATAAAGTAGCTCTGAACATACCCGAAAACGATGCAAAATGGGAATATTTCAAACAAGACAGAAGCTCCTATCGGCAAATGCTTCTCCTCACGTGTCATTGCCAGTGAAGCTTGCGTGAAAGCCCTGTTATCGAATGTGAGCTGAAAGGTGACGTGTACCGTGTCGAAAAGAACCTCCTCACGCACCAACTCGATCTGTAATTCTTTGTGATAAAAATGACGAGCAACCTCTCTTATCTGGCCCATCGTGTAATATACGAATCCGCGTCGTTTGCTCCTGTAATGGAGGGTTAGGCCTGCAATAGGAAGTGGTAAAAGTAAATTTAGACTACGAATCTATTATGAGTCACAATATTTTTAATAACCTGACTATCTTTCACATATACGAGATACAACTTAGAAAAGGCCAATAAGAAACAGGATGTCTTTATTAATTTTTTCACAGTGCAGTACGATAGAAACATTTGGCAACCTTTGTAGAACTAAGTATTTTACATTTGACATTATTAATATTTAATTCTCACTGTTATTTATATTTACTTACGACAAAAAGATAAATAAAACAACAAATTTTTTGTTCAGTACAGTAATGTCTCTCTTATTGACCACCAGCACAGAACCTAAACAGGACAGTTTAGGAATCAGGGACACTGTTTCCGAGCCTCGCAGCCCGCTTTGCAGTTTGCCGAACGAAGACAAAGACAGCCAATAAAAGAGAAGGTTGAAATGAGAGTCAAGGCAACCAAGCGATTTAAACACCAACTTTTTTAATTTTACTTTTTTGTATTCCGAAATTTTGTTAACATAGTGATGAGATTTTTCTGATGAAAATGCGACCAAACATGATATAATTTGAACAACATTTACTTATTAACACGTTGACTGTCACGCCAGATTTACAGGTTGCTCTCAGGCGGCCACAAGAAAATTTTCATCATTTTAAGCGTAAAATTATATTATGCTTTATAATTTTTTGTTTTTTTTTTTTTAATTTAAAGTAATGTCTAGTTAGCTATGACGTGCAAAATTTTTAGTTGACGATATTTGTTTTATTTTATTATTCTAAACATTTGAGGCACTCCAGTCACTGATGACCACCATGGCCATATCGAGGAAACAATCTCTAGTCGCAGGTGACCAACGTGGCAGTCAACATATTAATACTTATTGAGTGATTAATTTAATTTCATAATATATCGCTTTGGATGAATTACAAAAACAAATTGCTAAAAGAATACATTAAATACCTGTACACATTATCCGTCGAATGTGGAGGGAGAGGTAACGTTTGGTGGACAATATGAGAATCGAGACACCGTTTGGTGGTCAATTATAGAATCGGGACACCGTTTGGTGGACTGTCTGGGGAAAAGGGTCACATTCGGATAATTTATCAGAAGTTTGTAGCAAAGGTATATTTTGACACAAATTACATACTTCAGCTCAGCAAAGTTTTTGGAAAAGTTTAAAAAAATTTTTTTTTTTTATTCACAACTTTTCTATTATGTATTTTTGAGCGAAATAATTTTTTGATTCCTTGTGTCAGAAATATCCGGAGCCGAAAGTGGGGTGGGCGCAAAATATTCAATCGTTTTTCGGTTTTTGCAAATATATATATTTCTACAGGACAGTGATTGCGTAGTGTAAACTTCGTTTATTAAAGTACGCGTCCAAAGTCTTACAAAAAGTGAGGGCGGTTCGTCCTAGCCGATCCTGTTTTGTTACATAATTTATTTTTTTCTAGGCCTAGCTTTGTCATCCAGGGTCACCGAAAAAAAAAAATATTGTTTAAACTTTACCAAAAAATTTGCCGAGCTGAAATATGTCATTTTTATCAAAATATACCTTCGCTACAAGCTTCTGATAAATTACCCGAATGTAACCCTTTCCCCCAGACAGTCCACCAAACGGTATTCCGATTCCTATATTGACCACCAACCGGTGTCCCGATTCCTGTATTGACCACCAAACGGTGTCTCGATTCTATAATTGACCACCAAACGGTGTGTCGATTCTCATATTGTCCACCAAACGTTGCCACTCCCTCCACATTCGACGGACAATGTGTACAGATATTTGATGTATTTTTCTAGCAATTTCTTTTTGTAATTCATTCCAAGCGATATATTATAAAATTAAATTAATCACTCAATGAGTATTAATAAGTAAATGTTGTTCAAATTATATCGTGTTTGATTTCATTTTCATTAGAAAAATCTCACCAACATGTTAAAAAAAAATGCAGATAAAAAAAGTAAAATTACAAAAGTTATATTTCTACTATGAACTGTCAAGTCCTGAAATCTCGTAAATGAAACGGGTCCTGTAACGTTACACGCTTGACTGACTGCGAGCGAGATAACATAGGCGCAGCAATGACGCAGCCCTAGGCGCAGGACCATCTACTGTCCGACAAACCTAAAGTGTTACTCTTAGTTACTCTTAGTTACTCTTAGTTACTCAGTTACTCTTAGGTCTTCCCTTATAGTCAGCCAATAGGGATAGAATAAGGCTATCGCACTTAGCTTGACTGACTGCGAGCGAGATAACATAAGCGCAGCAATGACGCAGCCCTAGGCGCAGGACCATCTACTGTCCGACAAACCTAAAGTGAAGCCTCTGACGTCGCACAGGGGGAGATGTAGGGGAACTTGCGACGGCTCGTTGTTAGTAAGTCAATAGGGATAGAATAAGGCTATCGCAGTTACTCTTAGGTCTTCCCTTATAGTCAGCCAATAGGTTTTACGGGTTAAAATTCAAGCAATCCAATGGTATTTTTTCAATATTATTCTATGAGTGGGAATAGTGTCTGGAATGATATTTTCAAGCGCTCGAAAAAAAATTAAGTTTACGTCGCGCAGGCACCATATACAGGCGAACAGATGTCTGCGCGACGCCAAACGACGTGCATCGTGGTAAACTTTATTTTTTTATCCCATGTTCTCAAAATTTCTCTATTATTTCGATAAGCTTATTTTATGGGTTAAAATTCAAGCAATCCAATGGTATTTTTTCAATATTATTCTATGAGTGGGAATAGTGTCAAATTAGCAATTGAAAGTTTAGCTGCGATTATTGCTATGTTCACAATTTTTTAATGCGCCGAAATCTACTTTTATTATTCAGGAATAGGAAAAAATATTTACATTTCAGTTTTCTAATTGTTAAAAAATATTAATACATTTCCTGAGGCTTCCTTTACAATAAGAATTTATTATGTACGACTCGCTTAGAAATTAACGTCTGCGCTATTAAATATGTCTTACGCGCCAACGTAGGTTCTTTTATCAGCGTGTTACATTATCGACAGCTGACTCAAATTCGTTTGTCTAAACCATTTACCTACAACGCAACTTCCCCTCAAGGGCCTGCAGTGTAAGACCCAAGAGTAGTGGGAATTACCTGAACCGCCTATTTTGCCTCCATTTTGCTAGGCTGTGACGTCAGAGGCTTCACTTTAGGTTTGTCAGACAGTATATGTATATGTAGACTACCGGCCAAAAGTTTGGAATCACTGAGCATTGCAATTTACACAAAAATTTCCAGAAAAAAGTCAGCGACTTTGAGAATTTTTTATCATTCGAATCAATTGATATGAGATAAATTGATAAATGTAGAATTGAGATAAACTTCAAATCTATAAAAAATTAGCAGCAGATTTAATATTGATGAAAAGTGGGAGGTGATTCCAAACTTTTGGCCGGTAGTGTATTCGGTCAATGTAAGAATCCAAACTGGTGGTCAATAAGAGAGAGATTACTGTATTGCGAAACTAAATGGGATTAGATATTAAAAACTACACATTTTCGTATCTCGTTTAATGAAAAAGAAATACTGTTTCATTTGAAAGTTCTTTACCTTGTCGAGTCTCATTTTCACAAATAAAGGAAGGAGCTCTCATCCTTGGATAGGAGAATTTGAGATATTCGTGTAAATTGTCCAATCCATTAAGGAAATCTCTTACATGACGTCCAAGTACTGAAAGCACACGATCATAACCGTACTGGCCAACGAATCCTACGAAGTGTACACCCATCTGATCGAAAAATTCTTTTTCCGTTATGCCAAGTACCTGTGGTATGAGCGAAAAATGTATTCGATTGAATTACATAATATGTATAGATACAAGTATAAACAAACAGAATGAGATTACTTTATCAATTAACAGAAACAATTAATCATTTGTTAGTTTTGATGGATACGATATTATTTGAGATAGTTTGTATGATTATAAACTGTGTCCTGAATACAGTAAAATTAGCTTTTAAAATTCGAGATTCATTTGAAATTTAATATCAATTTTTACTTAACATGTTAATCATATTGTTTTCTAAAAAAAAATTGCTAAGAATATATTACAAAATTTTATGTTAAATTTACAGGCGATTAGAAATAATTTTTGAAATAAATAGTATTAATTCTGATAAAGATTTATATTAAGTTGAACCTTAAATTACCTTTTCTAAATTACATATGTACAGGATGAACCACGTAATTTTTCTTTAATTACAAGCAGAACAAAATTGTAGAAAAAAAAGTTGAGTGGTTTAAAGGTCTATTTTCTATAAGAAAATCTATGAGTTGCACCTTTTCTTAAATGAAAACGTATATGTATTTAGTTTTACTTGAATCATTTTTCCTGGTTACTTTGCATAAATGGGTATTAAGATAAGATAGACCAAAAATGAATATGTTATGAGATATTTTAAGCATATACCTTTATTAAGAAAATACTCAAACACACCCTTATAACATTCTAAACACTTTCTGTATCTTTTTTTCATTGTTTCGGTTACCGAATCAAGGCGATCTTTATTATTGTACAACGTACCTTAATCCGTTTTTTTACGTTGGACGAACTGTTTATAATGTATTCAAAGAGCATTGAATATGCTCTTCTTCAATAAAGGTATTAATGTAATATATTTCATAACTTATTAACTTAATAGCGTAGTGCAAGCCACCTCTTTCAGGACATCCAGAGCACCTTAGACTTTTGTCTTATATCTCCATTCAGCTTGTATCTACTCCCTATCCAAACCCCCGTCGCCAGAACAGGCCCGTCCAAATTACGCGAATAACTTTTTAAAAATTGGGCCAAACGACTTGAGTTTTTTTGAGAAGTTAGAAAGATTAGTTTACTAGATGACGTGTATAAAAAATTTTGAAACGATTGCAGTTTGTGGGAATTGCGAAGAAAATTGTAAAGGTCACTGTTTACAACTTTTTTATCTAGGCTTGTGATGAAAATTTAAAGCATACGTTTTGTAGATCTATGTGAATTTATACGTGCTGAAAATTTCATCGAAATCGGTTAACGTTGTTATGAGCTACAAACGGTTAAAGATTGTGAAAATCGCACTATTTCACGCCTATAACTAATAAATCTGAAGATTCTTACATATTTCGATGCCTGTCGCTTGTTTCTCCATCCACCGATTTCGATGAAATTTTCAGCGTGTGTATAATTGACATAGATCTACAAAACGTATTTTTAAAATTTTCATTACGAGCTCAGATAAAAAAGTTGCAATAACGACCTTCGCTATTTTCTTCGCGATTCCGATTGCAATTTTTTCAAAATTTTTTATACACGTAATCTAGTAAATTAATCTTTCTAACTTCTCAAAAAAACTCAAGTCGTTTGGCCCAATTTTTAAAAAGTTATTCCGTTTTATTATTCCGTGTCCAAATACTTATGGACGGTAGTGTATGTATACCAGAGAAAACTTTAAACGCGTTTTTCTTTAAACCATGTTTCTTAAATTGGCGTGCACGATAACTCAATAACACATTGACTAATCAACTTCAAACAAAACTTGTTTTATTTGTTATACATTCCTCTAGGGACTATACCTCTGATCTTTATTTTATTTTTTATTTATAATATTCTTTTAATCAATATAAACTTAATTTATCCACCGCAAAAGGCAATTTGTGTTCGAAACCGTACAACATGTCTAATTTTCCATAATTTCTCTTTGACATTGATATAATCCCAGCACAAACGATCTAACTTTAAGGAACTTTTTTTATTTTTAAATTCTGATGATTGTAACAAGTGCTACATTGGCCGCCAACAATGGTTTCATCGTCGAAGCGGATAAAAACAATTGCATACAATTTGATATAAGAATGGAAAAAGTAACCAAAAAAAATTGCTTGTGTAGTTTATGAATGTATCTATATACCCGTAAAATAATAATCTTGTATTGTTAATAGTTTTCTCAAAAAAAAATATAGAAGTATCGTTTCATTTTACTGCTGTTAAATGAAAAGCTCCCCTTAAAGAGTTTTCATTCCCCGCCTGGGAAAGTCAGTCTTTCTTGAACAGTCCTTCAACAACCAGCACTATATTCCATAAAATATGCATACAGTATGTCTGGTTTATCTCATAACAGTGAAATATCTCGAAAACTACGAATAATACAAAAAAATATTTCAGACGAAAGTTGTAGGGTATAGAGGGTTACATATTTTTATGATATTTGTTTGACCCTGCAATAATCTTGAAAAGCTCTGTAAAGGTCACGTTTAAATTTTTAAATGGAAACGTATATTTTTGAGTATGTATTGTCAGAAATACTCTGAACCCGAGTAGAGTAGGCATAAAATTAATTGAGACGTTTTTATACAATCGAGATGGTGTATTTTCCACAAAGACTATGTCCGCGGTGTTGTAGCGTCATTCGTTAAAAAGTGCGCGTTCAATGGTCCTGCCGATCCTTGTGTGTGTTGAGCCCGGCATCAAGTGGCTCGCTTCACTGTCTTCGGGACGGATTTTCTCATAGTATTCTTGTAGCTGACATCGAGACGTTTTCAAAACACTGCATAGTTGTGGTTTTTGCGTAAATTATTATTGAGATATCAGTTTCCAAGTTTTACATGCCGTCGTCATTAGCGCTGAATATCGCATCGCATACTGAGAAGTCCAGCAACCTTGGGAGCCACAGTAGTCGAAGCAAAATTGTTTGTATGGATTGATATAACTTCGGTAAAAAAATACTATTCGTGCAACTTTTTTCTCTGGGGATATTTAAAACAAATTGTTTATGATACACCCGTAAATGATGTTCACGAATTGCAAAGAAGAATCACCGACACAAGTGAAGAATAACTCCACAAATGTTAAAAAATGTAGAAAGAGACTTCTTAAGAAGAATGGGTAGCTGTATACTTTTCTACGAACAGCATATTGAAGGAAAACAGACAACAGATGTAAGTGAATAAGTGTTGAGAAATCCTATTAAATACTCCAATAATAAAAAATCACAGTTATCGAATCTTTCCGATGACTGCAAATTCAGTGTTCTTTACGAGATAATAGTGCATCAAATTGAACAGTTTACACACACACACAAAATCGGCTACAAAGTCCGACCGAGCAACCTCTGCGCGCTGTACATCGGATAGCACTAATGTCAGCAGCATGTAAAACTTGAAGGCTGATATCTCGATAACAATTTACGCAAAAGCCGCAAGTATGCAATGTTTTGAAAACGTATCGATGTCAAAAATATACGTTTCTGTAAGAGAAATCGAGGGCGCAGTCGAGATGGGGATTCGGGCGACCAGCCCGGATGTTCATTGTAATAGGAGCAGGCGAAATCGGGCCCGAGACTGAGCCACCACGAACATCGGCGACCAACCCTCGAGGCCCTTGGTGACGCCTTTTTGGGAACGACGGCACAAAGGGGCTCTCCTAGCCGGAAAGGCAGTCTCGCTTAGAGAGTCACCGAGTAACGGTTAACCAAGCGAACCCACACTAATTTAGTTTTAACCTCAAATACGCGCCTGTTTATTCTTTTTTCCTTACATTTCTATTTAAGAACTTAAATGTGACCTTAACAGGGCTTTTCAAAGTTATTGCAAGGTCAAACAAATACCATAATAATATATGTATAGCCCTCTATACCCTATAACTTTCGTCTGAAATATGTTTTTATATCATTCGTAGTTTTCGAGATATTTCACTGTTCTGAGATAAACCTGACATACTGTATGTATTTGCGAGAATTTAGCAGCGTTTGATTAATTTTGTGCCCACCCTATTCCCGGGTATTTCTTACATGTAACGGCATATGCAGACGCACCGTTACATCAGCAGAAAAGATTTTCTCATAGAAAAACGGATTGCTTTAAACTACTTAACTTTTTCTCTATTACTTTTTACTAGTTGTGACTAGCAAAAAGATGACTCACCCTAATTACATGGTCCAAATTATGTATCGTTTTTTCAATATATGTATGTTAAATTTTAATAAGTATAGTAGTGTTGCGTTAGCTGATCTAGAATTTACCTTCTTACAATTAATTAACCATCGCTATCCCCACCAGTTCTTAGAACTGGCTTCGTGGAGTGAATCTCCGGCGTTACGTATCTAAAACAAACAAGGACCTCGATATTTCGTATCAGGTATCCGTATCTTACTCGCACTCAATGGAAAAGAAACATACTTGGGATTTCCTAGAACTCTACCCCTTCATATAGTTGGTCAGATATGGTCTCAACCGCGGTCAGCTAATGCGACACTACTGTACATCTAAATTGACAAAATCTGCATTAAATTTTATATTAATTCTAATTTGAAAACGTAGTTGCATAAGTTTAAATTTATCTGGCTCTAGAGCTATATTGCACACTATTTCGGCATAATCATTCTCTTAAAATATGAAAATCTTTACCTATTAAATAATACTTATTATCTGTATCTGTTACATGTACACAATTCTGTTCAAAAAGTTCCAGGACAAACTCGTTCTTAAATTATCATGGTGTGGTATACAAAGAGTTTCTACCGACAGGTCAGTCAGGTGTCATGGGGTATTTAAGTAAGTACGTGATTCAATCTACAAAATAAACTAGATTTTATTTATTTAATTTTTTATTTAATATTCTTAATGCCTGCCTTTTACCTTAGGATGGCTTCCGGTTGTCATCTTCCTAATACATTTCTAATTTCTTAAGTCTAGTTCTATCCATTATATTATGTACTTATGTACATATTACTCTTTGTACATATAATACAACGCATAACCTTAAATACTGCTTTTTGCACTTTTATGTTGCCTTTCTGCTTTCCATTCTTACATGCCATATTCCTATTAACTATTGTATATTTAATATCACTTTTATACATTCTTTATCTTTTATACTGATTCTTTATGACTGATTCTTATTACTATTCTTATGTTTCCTCTTTCTGATTATAATTTTTGCGTCTAACTTTCACAACTCTTTTCATTTCTTGCAGCTCCTTTCTATTGTGTATTAGCACTTCTTTTATCTCTTTATTACATTTCGTTTCCTCACATTCTACCAGTATGGGTCGTATATCTTCCTTTTTTACTTTATATATTCTACATGTCCACATTTCTTCCTTTGTCCAGTGCTACCTTCTACCCATTCTGTTTCCCACTCTAAGCCTAGCTATTAATTTCTTCTCCTCTTCCTTCATTTTTTTCTTCCAAATATCGGCACCAGTTCAGTCTGTATATTTTTATAGTACGTATTACATTCTGACACCTCTATTTTCCTCTTTATCTCTTACTTTCACCATTTTTATTACTATTTTTGCTAGTCCCCCTCTTTCCTCTCTTACTCTCCCTGCGCCATCCCCTTTTACTCTGATTTGATTTAGCAGTTCTACTCTTTTCTTCTCCCATTACTTCTCTCACTATCAGTCTTCTCTTTCTCAATTTCTTTTGTGCACTCTATCACCAGATTCTTATTCGACATCCTCGCCTTTTCCTGATACCTCGTTGCTCTTCTAGCTGCTTCATTCTGTGAAAAATCTAACAATAAGATCCACTTCACATATTTCCTTTACACCTTATCCATTCTTCTCTCTCTCCTCTATACCCATATTTGCACTCCACATAGTGCCACATTTCCCACCAATGCATTGAACATCTTCATTCTTCTTCGATAATCATCTTTAAATATTCTTTCCCCAGTACTGCATGTCCTTTTTATAGCCACAACTGTTTTCTTTACTGCTTCTCTTATTTGTTTCTCCGCCCCTCCATTTTTCTGCAGAATATATCCTAAATATTTTACTCCTTTTATTTCTTCCACTTTCTTTTCTCCCCATTTTCATTCTCTTCTCGTCTGTCTCCCTCTTCTTTCTTCACACACTAATACCTTTGATTTTTCTAGGCTTAATGTCAGCTTTTTTTTATCCATATATTTTCTGAATCTTTTCATCATATCTTTCAATTTTCCTTCACTCTTCACCACTAATACTTAAAACTGACACCTCCCTACTTCTTTCTCCAAATCCACCATGTATACATATGTTAAACAATGTCACGCTTATAGAGCATCCCAACCTAACACCTGCTTTTAGACAGAAAACCTCCGTAGTCTTCTCTCCCACTCTCACTACATTTCTGGTTTCTTCATAAATTTCCGTTTGTACACGGAGCATCAACTCGCAAACACTGTATTCGGACCATCAATTCGATTGGAAAAACCGTTGGCATTAGTGTATTGTAAGCAATGGGGATTATTTTGAAAGCGACTAAATAGGTATTATCGAATAAATGAAAAATTTGTATATTATTCGATTTGACCTGGAATTTTTTGCACTGAGTAATGCATATTAATACATATCTGCAATATACGTATATTTTCTCTGGTATCTACCACTACTATTTTTATTATTGTATAATTAATATTAGAATATTTGTAATCGTTCATAATACCATTTTTTATAACATAATTGCGATAGTTACTATCCAATAATTATAAGGCTATTCATTTAAATATCGTTTATTTACACTTATTATCTTATTTAAAGACTTATAATGTTTCCAATATTTTATAAGTATCATATATTATATCATATGTTATCATACTGTAGTATGAGATAATCATATATTATATCATAATACAGTATCATATATTAATCAAACTATATTTAATGCTAATATTGCATTAATTTTTCAAGTTCAGTCTTCTAATTATTTTTATCAATATATGCTCTGATTACTCGGTGAAAAACTACAAAAGTAACGTTGGATACGACAATAAATTTGATGGTAAAAATAAAAAAGTTACAAAATTTTAGTGCTGGAGAAAAGAGTACGCGATGCGTGTAAAATGAGAATTAATCTTAAGTAACTCCTACCTGAATAGCTTTCTTCGCTAATCTGGGTATAAGGCTCTCAGGATAAACCTGATGAACACTGAAACTAGGCTGATCTACGGATGCTTGTCGCCGGATCTCTTCCCATCTATCTTCCCCATACACCTGTCGTATGTACTCCGACATATTTTCCAGAATTAGGCCGTACATCTTTGTTAATATTCACTTGCGTCCTATTGTAACAAAAAAAAAAAAGAAAGAAAGATAGAAACATGTTTGTCTAATCTCTTTAGAATCCACTAAAATAAATAATGCATATGGATCAAATTTACACGTAGGTGCATGGAATAAAAAAATCTAAATAAACAAATAACGATAAGTGGGTATATTTATTGAGAAATGTAATCTAGGAATCACAATTCACGTCAAAAATTATCATTATCAATAATCCAGTAAGTTGTCACAACGACACATCTTTTTGTAAACAATTATGTTTGCAAAGCGTACTAGTAAGTACGTGAAAACAAATTTTTCCTTTCCTGTTTATTTGTAATACTAAGCATAAAAGTAAAGGAGAAAAGTACAATTTTTTGCATTTCAAACAGTAGCAAAGAAGAGCGCAGGAATATAAGATATCCATTTTATTTTTTGACCTAGGATGTCTCAGAATAGTTGTAAATGAAAAAATCAAACAAATAACTTTAGAGAATTTCATGTGAAATGTGCTGCATAAACATAAATATTGTGAACCTACAGAAACTTTTGATTCTTTTACTCTTTCTAAATTAAGGCAAAATCGGACAAGTTGAAATTCGAGTAGTACATAATATGAAACAGTGTTTCTTTTGAGAGAAATCAGTTATGAAACTGCGTTAAAGTGTTGACAAAAAAGTTTCAACGACATAAAAGTGTCCAATATAACAACTGAATAAGCGATCACAGTTATTTAGTTCTGCAATGTAAATTTCGCTCTCTGACCAAATTTTTTCAGTTTAACAGCTTTGAGAGCTTCTGTCATATTTTTCGGAATATGTAATTCTTTCTTAGGCCTTTCTTTTCTTTATTTAACTTTGTACTTGGCATCTGAAGGAGTGATTGAAATTCATTTTATTAGTTAGTAATAAATTTTTAAATGTGGTAGTAATGTCAGACAGTCTCATACATATTGCTACCAACTCGCCATTTTACTTTCCGACATTGTACCACAATCAAAAACACAGTATACCTATTTACTTCAAGTCTTCTTTAATATTCTCAAACTATGATTACTGTAGAATAATTTATCTCCTTTGTTGCCTTGAAAATCACAAAATAAACCAAAGTAAATTCCACTTCAATATGCATATGCAGAAACTTTCCGTTAAGGTCGAAACGGAAAACGTCCATTGAACAAAAAAAAAACGACAATGAACGACAATGGCTGTTATGGAAGAGTGTTATAGTCTTCATAATACTTAATTTCCAATCATTGTCAAAATTGTCAGTACTGTGTGTACACAGATCAAAATCTTGGTGTCTCATATTTCTACCTTATCTCATATTCGTACCCTCTTCTCTACGCTTTTTAAATATGCGTAATTTTGCATAAAATGAAGTTCAATTTGTAACAAGTTCACTGAAATATTACTAATTAAGTTTACCTACTCCATTAGGTAAATCTACCTAAATGAACTACTCGATTTTTATACCATTTAAAAAGAAAATCGTATTTTTAAGATTTTATTCAAATTTTACAGTTTTTATTCTTATCATTTAATTGAAATATGAGAGTAAACAATAATAAAGTACCGTGATAATATAATTTGTTTCATTTTCTCACAGCTAAACAGAAACATTAATTGTTATTAGCTATGTAAAACAACTTTGACCTTCTATAGACTAGCTATATTTCTGAACTAAAACTTCTTTCTTCAAATTGATTTAATTTTTCCTTTATACAATTCTATTCATATTTGTTTAAGAAAAAAGTTTTAGAGCAGAATATTAAACCTGTAAAACAATTCTATGCACTGCATACGAGTTTTACTTACTTTCTTCTACTACACAAACAAAATTAATTTTTTGCATGCCTCATCATCTATTGTTGGAAATAGATGCACAAAGCTACCAAACAAGTTATTAATTTCATATTTAAATTATGTTATTGTAAATATTAGTTACCATTATCTTAATTTTTGAGAGAGAAAAGATAACTGCCGACTACATGTGGGTAATGAATTGGGGAGTCTCTCGAGAACATGAATGCTTATACTAATTTAATTATGGAAATTTTTATGTAGCTAACAAAAATTATTATCAATCTAACAGTTTATAAGTGATTCTATAGATTTAAAGCACAAGCTTATGTGTTTCACTTAAAGAGGAAAACATTTAAAATTAGGTGTCTACAAGAGGAAGGTCTCAACATATAATAAACAGTAAGCTAACAGAAAACAGAGATTGATATAACAGTGATGTTAAGAATAAGCCAACTGATACATAAGATGGATGAAATGTCGAGTGAAATGAGGAATATGAAAGAAGAATTAAAAGTAGTAAGAAAGGAGGACACAGACCTAACAGGTATAATAAGAGATTTAACAGGCTTGAAAAAAAAAACAGAAGAGAAAAAGGTAAGATGGGCAGAAGAAAGGAGGAATTTAGAAAAAAGAATTAAGATAAGAGGAGGGATAGGAAAAATAACATCGTCATCAATGGACTACAAATAAAAGATAAGGTAGTAGAAGAACTAGAAGATTTTTAAAGGATAAACTAAGGATGGAAGGAGAAATGAGTACACATTGACGATGGCCTAACATTAGAGCAGAAAGAGATACAGAAAGAAATAGCTGTATATGCAGCAGAGCAAAGAAGACAAAGGAAAAGAGTTAGGATAGGATATCAAAAGTTGCATATAGATAACGAATTGATGATATGGAAAAGGGAATATGACTAGTTAAAGACCGGTTATTTCAGTAGAAGGAAAAGAAAAATACTGGAAGAACAAGAAGAGAACAAATACAATAGAATTTATATTCTAGATCATACATAGACTAAGAAATCTGCATAAATTATGCATAGAATACTTAAATGAATATATAAGAAATAGTGCAATATGTTTAAGTGAAACATTCAAGACCGAAATACAGGTCCAACTACCACCATTCCTACAAAAATATATAATAAATGCCTAATAAGTAAAGCAATACAAGAAAAATTTATGGGAATGGAGGATTATGCGTATTTATCTTGACCCGCTCAAATATCTCGAAAAATATGAATGATACTAAAAAATGTTTCAAACAAAAATTTCAGGATATCATAGAGAACATACTATACTCTTGTGTATTTGACCTTGCGATAACCTTGAAACATATTGCGAAGATCATATTAAAATTTTTAAACGAGAACCTGCCTTTTTTATTACATATTCTTATGACTGACATTAAGACGTTTCCAGAACACTGCAAACTCGTGTCTTTCGCTCCATCCGCTATCGAGATATTAACTTTGAGATGTTAGCGTTGCCCTCAATTTTTATTTGAAACACTTTTTCATGCCTCTCCCTGTATAATCCAAATATAATAGTAGCAATAAATATAGTAAGGTTAAGCTAAACATGGATAAGTATAAAAATTCAAATAGACCAAAAGAGCACATAATGTGCAATACATAGATAAAGGGAAATGATGCAGAACACCTACTGGAAACATCAGAAGAGCTGAGGGAAATAAAAACAAAATCCATACACTTATAATAGTGAAGGGAGACTAATTCACGAATAGGAAATTTTCATCAAGTAGAAGAAATAGTAACGGAAGGAACAGAATTTGCAAGTGCCAGGAAAACGAAGGATAATACAATACGTGGAGCAGGGAGGACATTATGTGAAATGATGGAGGAACTTAGCCTCATAGTTTTAAATGTAAAAAGAAATTCAGGTAGAGCGGGTCACTATACGTATGTATATGTATAAACAAGATGGACAGAAGTACAATAAGCACGACCTGGGTAGATGTAAACAAATTATAAGGAATAGCAGACTTCGAAGTAATAGAAATTGAAATTTTGGACCATTTACCAATAAGAATCAAGTGGAAGATAACAAAGGAAGAAGATAAGGGAAAGGAGTCAGTTGAAGAAAAATTAATTTTGGACAATAACAAATCAGATCAATACCAATGGCAAACCAAAAAATAGAAACAGAGTCACCAATAGAAAGCTACTGTAATAGTACAATTATGAAAATAAAAGAATTAGGAATGACAATACACAAAAGAGGGATAAGATACAAAATAATAAAAACAGACTATGATTTGACCAGGAGTGCTACAAAGCTAGAGAGAAATTAAGGAGCAAATCAAACACCTTCAGATGAAGAGAAGACGAGCATACAAGGATAGCCCATTTAGAAACATAGAAACAATACAGAAGCACATTAAACATGCGAAAAGGAAATACCACAATAAAATACAAACTGAGATCGCGAATGTAAAGGACAATACAAACTTCTGGAGCTTAGTGAAGAAATTAAACTTCAGACAGGTCCCAGAAAACACAATAGGAAAGGAGTGGAAAAAATTTTACAAAAAATTATATAGACAAAAAACAAATATAAAATACCATTTAATTGACGCAAGACATCCATTCTTAGACAAAGACAGAGATATCGTAAAACTAGATTGAATCCTAGAAAAACTGAAGGCAAACAAAGCTCCAGGATCGGATGGTATTATCAACGAATACTATAAATATCAACCGTAGAAAATGAAATGGGTGCTCGTACAACTTTTAAACAGCGTTCTACACAAAGGAGAAGTATCTTCAAGTTGAAGAAACACCTGTACAGTAATGCTTTAGAAGAAAGGGAATAAACACGACCCAAATAAATATAGAAGTGTAACACTAGCTAATGCCATTACAAAAATATTTATAGCAATTCTGACTGAGAGAATAAACATATGGGGCGAGAGTAATAACATACTACCAGAAGGAGAATCAGGATTTTGAACCAGCAGATCATGCGAGGACAATATCTTTGAGCAAACCATCTAAAATAACAGAAGTGTTGGCGAGGCCGAAAGGGAATACATACAGGGTGGTCGGTAACTAGTGGTACAACCGAAAAGGGGGTGATTTTAAATAAACAAGTAACTCGAAAATGTAGAATAAAATTTTTGCATATGAGGCTTTGCTTTCGAAAAAGTCAACTTTAAATGTTCACTGGGTACTCGTGCACTTGACTATGTATGATCTGTATCAAAAAGCGAATGCACAAATAAGACTAAAACATAATATGCGTACATCAAACATAGAAATAAACAAAGGAGTCATGCAGGGAGACAGCCTGAGTTCAACTCTCTTTTCACTGATGATATTATGACATGGACAAATACTTTATCAATAACAGACACAAGGGAATTGTGAAAAGAATGGAAATGCTATTTAGAGATGACTTAGTGATAACAGGAAACCCAATAGACCTACAAGAAAAGTTTAATACACTACAGAAATACTGCATGGAAAACAAACTCGAAGTAAATACAGAAGAAACAAAAATATTAATATGTAGGAAAACAAATAAAAAAGTGGGAACAAGAAAAATCAAATACGATAGCAAAATCGTAGAAGTGGACACATATACCTATCTTGGCGTGCCGTCTTAAAGCAATTTATATCCCAGGAAAAAATGACAATAGATCCAGTTTACAGCCCCTGATAGTGACAATGCAACAGCTTTAATACAGCAATGAAAATCTTCGAAGCAATAGTAATAGCAACCTTACTACACAGCGCAGGAATATGCAGTTTACGTTACCCAGCAGAAATACAGAATACAAACAAACATCCTAAAAAGACTATTGTGCCCACAAATACACCAGGTTATATTATTGGACTATTGTAGAATTAGGAAGAATACATTTAGAACATGAGATATTGAAACGAGGTATTTACTGGTTAACACTAATAAGCATCAAAGAACATAGATGCCCAAGAAGATGCTACGAAATGTTGAAGACATTAAATAGGGAAGCACCGGACTTAAAAAGAAACTGGTACACTCAGATGAAGAACAAATTCAGCAAATATGGATGTGACGTGAATGATACAGCAACACTGATAAATGTAAACCAAAGAATGATAAGTTATTATCATTGATAACAGAAATACTAGAGAAACTTGTCAAAGAAGATAAAGATAGAGTAGGAAAATCTACCTATAGTGAAATATACAAATATATCAAAAACACGACAGAAATAACAAAAACCAAATACCTAGACCTGAAACTGCCACTAACAACTACAATAGTAGCATAAATTAGATTAGCAGGAAGTTCGAAGTGGTCAGTGACGATAGGAAATGGAATAATAAAAGAATGCACTCAATACGATAAATTCAGATCAGAATATTTGAAAAACAACGACTGGACAGTTATACTATCAGCAGATAAGAGAAAACAAATATAGGAACGAACGAATTTCATACAAAGCAGTATGACGATATGAGCATTTTGCCTCGAAGAATAGCGGAAGAAGAGAAAGGTTAAATCGGACTAAACTGTAAATAATTTATAATAATCTTACACAGGCTGTTGTAGCGTATAGAAATTTTCCCATGCAATTATAAACGCCAAGGCGATTGTCAATGGCGTGAAGGGGGATAGGGTAAAGCGAGCGGGCAGCGCACTTCCAGGTACCGAGGCATAAAACTGTGGCTCCGACCAAAGGACGAAAATCCGTATAAAGAAGGTCTGCATCCCAGAAAAGAATCGTGAAGAGACGTCTCAAGATAGTGGTACAGGATATCCTATCCACTCTTGCACGAAAAGAAAGGTTATCCGTCATCCACTCCTTTCAAATATATCACGAATCTATCCAAAGTACTTCCGCGACAAGCTTGGATTGTCTAGTTTGGCCTAACCTAACCTCTGCTACAGATTCATATTTTCTTCCAATATTCTATCTTTCCATTCCTCAAAAGTTCAGATTCAGTCTGGTCATCTGACTCAGAGAATTTCCCATCACTCCTTCGAACCCTCCACCCCATCTGCTCTCCAACCCTGCCAAACATCACCCTTCCGACCCACACGACCGTCTCGTCATGTCGCCGCAGCTTCCCGAAAATACAACGCAAAATTCGGCAACCACGAATCCGTCTCGTAGAAAAGTGTATACACTATAAATAATTCTAAGAAAAGTAAACCTAACAAGGGAATATCCCCAAGTGATAATCTCCGATTTTGATGAAACTTTGATATATATTAGTCCTCAAAAAAATATTCGACGCGTATTTGTTTATAACGATAATTAATCATCCACAGTGAAGGTGTGAAAATCGCTCTCAAAGTTGGAGGTAGTAAATATATTTAGCCCAATATCTCCAAAACTATTAGAGATAGAGGAATAGTTGACGTTGAGGAATAAATTGACGAACTTTGAATTTTTCAACAACAAATATGAAAAATAAAAAAATAATAAATAATAAATAATTTTGTATTCTTCAACTTTTGTCGTTGAAAAATACTGGATTCATCAGTTTACGCAATTCTTTCATCTCTAATAATTTTCAAGATATTGGACCAAGTATGTTCATTATCCTCATCTTTAAGGGCGATTTTCACTCATTTAATGTGTCAAATATTTTTTTGAATAGTACCATATATGTACTAAAGTTTCATCGATATCGGTGATTAACACTTCGAGATGTTCCCTTGTAAGTACTATGTAGAGCTCAGGAGTTTGCCCCTGGAGAGAATGCGGGTCTGATTGGGTCGTATTCCCACAAGGCCACATTCTCTAACATAATCATAAAAATAGGACACACGTATTATCATTATTGACCGAACACGATAACATCGACAAATCGGATCATATAGCACCGCGTGGCGGAAGTTTCGGGCGGTGCGAGTGAAATAATCCTATATACCACACTTACATACATATGTATCACATCTATTGATTTTAGTCATCCGGCCGTTCCCTTCCTAAACAACAAACATTTCACATCATCCTTCGCTATTACTCACTTCCGAACCTGGACATCAGTGCCTCATCCTTTAGTGACCCCTGAACCCAAAATAACCCCTACTCTCCTGCCTACCGAACCTATATCCTATGCACCGCTTTCCCCCGATTTTTAGATTTTGTCAAGTGATCTTTGCATAACGACCTTCAGGACATTGAATAAATTATCGATTGTATGACGCTACCTAGTTCTTTCACCGAAGTTCTGTTAGTTCTCCTATCGTAAAATTATGAAATATAATAAGTCGAACGTTAGAAAATAAACTCTCTGAAATACAACAATACAAATACAAAGATTATGCTAGGCGCTACACACTATCATAATAATAATACACCTATCCTCCGATTTACACGGTACTTTATTTACACGATTTCACTTTTACACGGTTTTTAAATTTGCCCCGGCCCGGATCGAGAAGATCCGGGATAGTTGATGAGCGTGGCGTGAGCCCGCGCCAAAGTCTTGGCGCGCTAAAAGGCATCGCGTTATTCAACTTTTTAGGCGCGCGAGCCGAGGGCAGATAGGCAAGCCGGAGTCTTTTTCCGTGTTTTCTTAACATTTTAAGTTATTTTAGACTTTGTCCCCTACAATTTAGTGCAGTAAATTTTTAGCAGCAGAAAGGTATACATCATTGTGTTTTTCTTTTAGTTAGTGAAAAACAATTATAGTTTTTGTAGCATTTTTATAATTTTATTAAAATTTTAGGGGGTTTACCATGCCAAAAGAAATAAAAAAAAAAACACAAATGAAAAGAAGAGTTATATCTTTAGAAAGCAAAATTAAAATTTTAGGTCGTCTGCGTAATGGAGAAAGAGTAACAGATGTTGCTAAATTTTATTCCATGAATGAAGCCACAATAAGGACCATAAGAAAAAATGAAGACTCCATTAGAAGAAGTGTAGCAGCTGGATCTTCTGCGAGTATGAGCACAGCTTCATACGTAAGAGATGTTGCAATGGAAAATATGGAAAAAGCATTAATGATATGGCTAGAAGACGCCACTCAAAAGCAGATTCCAATTGATACCAGTACAATTACAAATAAGGCTTTGAAGATTTATGAAAAAATTAAGAATCAGTTACCATCTACTTCTTCAGCTGAAAAGAAGCTGTCTTTTTCTGTAAGCCATGGTTGGTTTGAAAGATTTAAACGAAGACATTCTTTACATAATCTAAGATTGAAAGGTGAACAAGCATCTGCTGATTCAGATGCAGCGCAACAATATCCGGCAAAATTTGCTGAAATTATAGCCGTTAATCCTACACTCCTGACCAGGTCTTCAATGCTGATGAGTCCGGGTTATTTTGGAAAAAAATGCCAGAAAGAACCTATTTGGCTAAAGCTCACAAATCAGCTAGTGGTCATAAAGCAGCGAAAAGTCGTATAACAGTTCTTTTCTGCTGCAACGCTTCAGGCGATCATATAATGAAACCATTAGTTATTAACAAGTCAAAAACGCCACGCTCATTTAAAGGAATAAACATCAACAACCTTCCCGTTTATTGGATGGCCAATAAGAAGGCCTGGGTTACTGCCACACTTTTTAATGAATGGTTTCATAACTTTTTTGTCCCAGACGTCAAAAGGTATTTAAGTAAAAAAGGGTTGCCTTTTAAGGCCCTTCTTTTAATTGATAATGCACCAGGAAATCCTCAAGATTTACAACACGAAAATGTGCAAGTTGTATTTTTACCCAAGAATACGACTTCTTTATTGCAGCCGTTAGATCAAGGTATAATTTCGACTTTTAAGGCACTGTACATCAAACGAACCTTCAGGTATATTTTAGAACAAATAGAAAATGATGAATCTCTCCCAATTATGGATGCTTGGAAAAAATTTACAATCTTAGATTGTGTTAAGCATGTTGGAGTGTCATATACCGAGATTAAGCAATCAACGCTCAATGCCTGCTGGAAAAAATTATGGCCAGATGTAGTTGAAGGTGAAAATTCTAGATTACCATTGGAGCATGAATATTCTCAGATAACGGAGATGGCGCATACAATGGGAGGAAAAGGTTTCGAGGATTTTGCTGAGGCAGATATTGTAGAACTAATGGCGGACAAAGAACTAGATGAGGATGATTTAGTTGACATGGTTAATGAAACAAATGATCGTGCAGTGATCCTGATGAAGAGGAGTCTGAACCAGTTGCGTTCACAGAAAAAGTCATCCGTGAAGGACTTGAATTAGGGCGAAAATTGGGTAATCATTTTCTACAAAATGACCCAAATGTTGAACGAGCTCTCCTATTTCAGCGAGATATTAATAAACGCTTAACTCAATATGAGGAGGTCTATAAAGATTTGATCAAAAAGCAAACACAATTGTTAATTGCGGATTTCATTACCAAGGCTCGCCGATCTGAAATTGTTTCTAATTCATCTAACATCGAACTTGAATCGCATCAAGTACTATCGAGTGATGAAAGTGACATCATACCAACCAGGAATAAACGATTAATAGAGTACGAAAGTGATAACAGTAATTAAATTTTT